GGTATGCAATGTGAGTGGACATGGTCGCAGGAATGCAAACTACACAACTGAGTGAGAGCTTTAATGCTAGTTTGAAGGGGTATTTGAAATCAGACCTACAATTGCCTGAGTTTTTTACTCACTTTGTAAGAATGGTATTTGATAAGCGGTATAAGGAAATGGAAGCTGAGTATCATTTGTTGTTCCGGATTGTTCACTGCAAAATGGAGGTAAGTATCTTGATACATGCACGAGAAGTTTATACCAAAGCCATATTTAAGGCATTTCAAGCTCAGTTTGAAGACTCTTTAAAGTCTTCCATAACGAAGTGTGTGTATAATGGTGAACAATATATCTTCACTGTTGTTAGGGATGGGTTCTTGAAGGAGAGGCTAGTAAAAAGAGAAGGTCAATTTACAGTATCTTGCAGCTGTAGGATGTTTGAAACTATAGGTGTCTTATGTAGGCATTGTATCAAAGTGATGACAGAAGGCAGAGAAACTACATTGATAAAAAAGATACCTGAACAATATATCTTAGAGAGGTGGACAAAAAATGCAAGGGTTGATAATGTTGTGCAAGACATGCATGGGCACGAGATTGTAGAGAACCCAAGGCTGAAACAAACTTCTCGATATAGAAGTTTATGTTCTAAGTTTGTTCGACTTGCATCAAGAGCATCTGAGAGTGAGAAGACATATGAGGCAATAGATATGGAAGCTGATAAGTTAGTAAAGATGGTTGAAGATATGTTACGTGTAGAAATAAATGGTGAAAAAGATGTGGAAGATGAAGCTCCAAATGTCTTGGTTGATTGCTCTAATAATGTAACTGTTGTGAATGCAAAGGGATTTAAAAAGAGAGAAGCTACACATCGTGGAAAACGTCGAGTAAAGGGAGGCTTTGAAGCTCAGTTAAGCAAAAACAAAAATAAGCTCGCACAGGTCAAATCACTAACTATAATTGAAGTCATTATTTACTTCTTGCTGAATATAGTCATTATTGATGTCTATGTAATGATAGGTAACTAAAGTTCCAAGACATTGTGATGCAATGGACCAATCTCATGTACCTTCTTCACAACAATCTCAGGTTTCAAAACAATGCTTCACTTTGTGTATAATGAGTTTTCAAACAACTATAGTGTTATATGATTCATTACTATCAGTTACAGGTACCTATGCACTCTCCTATAACGGATGGTAATGGTAGATATATGCCACTGCTCTTTCATCCGTATAATGTGAGTGTGTGTTTGCTATAAATATATGATTTTTTTTGCTATTTGTTTATATTACTAGTATTTTGACAGATACATGGGCATCAATTGAATATGGAAAGTTCACAAGAATTTGTTCAATCAAATATCATGGGATTTTCATTTGCACAAGACCCAGAAAAATCAAATTATGAGCAGAGTTCAACTCCAAGACAGAACATTTCTTCAACTTTCAAGGGAGATAGTTGGTCTGCTACTCCTCTACACTCCGTACATGAACAGAGGAGATGAAATTTTGTTTGCTTGCGTTAATGTAACTAGCTTCCTGTAACTTTTGTTGTGAAATTTAGACATTTTCTTGATGGAAGTTGTGTTAGGATTCTAGATCTGTAACTTTATTGACTTTTGGGGAGTTTTCTGTTAATTGTTGTTGCTATTTGTATTTGTAACACCTGATTTTTTTTAGATGGTGCTCGAACTCAATTATGAGCAACTTGGATTAACTTTAAATCAATGAGCTTTCCCTAAGTTGTTTTTCTTGGAGTTGTTAGTGATGGGTTTTCTTTATGCAATATGTGCAATATGTGCATTGTAGATGGATACAACAAATTTGTTGCTAGTTGCATGAAATGGGTTTTCTTTGTGTAATATGTGCAGTATGTGCATTGTAGATGGATACATCAAATTTGTTTTTTTTTTTTTTGATTATTCAGCATACCCAGTATTTCTCTGAAACATTACAACATACCATCTTACAAATCACTAACTCAAAAACCATCTTAGATACCTCTAAGATCAGGCCGAACATCAAATGAACAAAAAATATTCTCAATATGAGACCACAACCAAACAATTGACACAACCAAAAAAAGCCTAAAGGAACATAGAACATCAAGTCTCATGAAAAGTTGAAACATGGAAGAACTACAGCATTGAACATTTTGTTGTACATGCACACAATAAAACTGAAGATAAATATTCCTTACATTCAAACTGCTTGCCCAAGCTAACGTAGCTTACAACTCAATATTTACATTCTTTTACAATAAAATTTCCACCAGTCGGTAAAATCAGGCAAGGGAAAGAAACGAAAACTCCTTTCCTTCTCTATCAGTCGGTAAAATTGGTGATTCCCAAAATATGCTAGCTTACTGCACTTCTACCTTCACCTCAAGGCATCTTCTTTGCTCCGGCTGTTACAATCCACTCGCAAATTTCTGCACATAGGACAAGCAACTCATCACTTTGAACCCCTATTCTCATTACCAGTCTTTCAATTTAAAAAAGACAATAACTACCCACATATAGTCGCTTAAATTCTAGGCATTAACTAAATAAATAACCTCACCACATAAGTAATCCAACTTCGCTCGCGGATCCAGAGAGATTACCTGCAGCGTCGGAGGAGGAATCTCGCGGAGGAATTTTGGGGAGAGTTTTGGGGAAGAGAGAGAGCTCGCAGAGGTGGTCCGGATCTGCGACGATCTCCGCTCACGGATCGAGATCGAGTTCGAGAGAGAGAGAGATATCAACGGCGGGGTCGGCTCGTGGAGGTGGTCCAGATTTGCGGTGGTCCGGATCTGCGACGAACTCCGCTCGCGGATCGAGATCGAGTTCGAGAGAGAGAGAGATCAACGGCGGGGTCGGCTCGCGGAGGTGGTCCAGATTTGCGGTGAGCTCGCGAATCGAGATCGAGGGGGAGAGAGCGCCGAGCGCCGATGATCTTGGAGGGGGAGAGAGGGAGGGGGAGAGAGGGAGCTGCAGGATGTTGAAGGGGGTTGTGAAGGGGAGAGAGAACTTCATGGGGATGTGTAGTGAGGATACTGGCCGTTGATGTAAAATGAACGGCTGAGATTTGTTCATTAGGAGATATTAGCAACTCCCTCGTTAGTAGAGGATCCGAGTCCCTCGAACCCGAACACGACTCACTGAGCAATTAAAACCCAATTCTAACCCTATCTTTCTCTTTTCTCTCTCCCTCTTCTCTCCCTCGTACGCGTTTTCTCCTCTTCTTTCACCGCCTAAGTTCCAAACCCGACCCCCTCTTCTTCGATCGCCGGAGCCGGAGCCGGAGCCGGAGCCCCTCCTCGTCTGATCTCCACCGCCGGAACCCCTCCTCTTCTCCTCCCCAGCTCTCTCTCCTCGCCAAACAATACCCGAGCCCAAACCCTAACTTGTTTGTCCTCCCCAAATCCTCACCTCCGGGCACCTTCAATCCAGGTAAATTTTATTGTTTTTCGGTGTTTTTGGGTTCAATTTCTGTTATTAAATCTCTGTTTTGTCAATTTTTATAACATTTTTGTTAAATTGCACTGATTTAATCAATTTAGGTATTAATTTAGTAACTTTAGTCGATTTTGTTCCATTTTTTTAGACTTTTAGTTTAATTCATTGTTTTATACTTTTAGTTCAATGTGGTATTAACCTATTAATCTATTAGACTATTAGATTTTTATTTCAATTGTATTCTAATTTTGTTCAGTTTTTGAATTATTTAGGACTTTTTGTTTGATGTTCACTGTAATTGACTGATAAGATGAAGTGATGAACTTAAATGACAGGATTTCAGTCACTGTTAAGTGTTAACTTCTTAAGTTTAGTTTAATATGGTATTTAGGTATGTTCTTAAATAATTTGATTTATTTGAAAGTTGAATATTTTATCATGATTTGATGAATTGATCTATGTCATTTGTTTAGGTATGCCATTGCCAATGATTTTATTTTGTTGATTTTCTATTAAACTTAGGTCATCTAAATCAATACTATTTATAAATAGAACCTCAATCAAACTATGGTTCAACTGTTCCTTCATCATTAAAGAGTTCATTTAGGAGGTTAATTTCAATTGCTTCTTGGGAGCAATGAGAGCAAAATGAGAGAAGGAGATGGGTTAAAAGGAAGTCCAACCATATAAGGGCATTTTAGGTAATAAAAAATAAATGCAACCTAAAGATAACAGTGGTTAGACGGTGTTAGGTTCCATGGGGTGTAATTGCAACAAATAATACTACGGGGGTAGTAAGTGCAACTCTTGTGGGATGTGTTCACAATTAATTCAGGTTTTAAACAACTAATCGGCGTTGAACTCCAACATTAACATTGTTTTATTGATCCAAATAGAGAAGGCAAATAGAGAACGCAAGTGAAAGATTCATGCATAATTCTCAGCCCTATTACCTTTTTTTATTGTCGACGCAACTCGTGGCTCATTCTTCCCATAAATAAAAGTCTTACGATGGATTTCCTCATGTCTGAATATTGACTCGTAAACAGAACACATCAAGATAACTAACCAATATAGAAGATAAACACAATTGTCTAGCAATAATCTAGGCTTAACAATATTATAAACAAACATATTCAATTCATAACAGGCATATGATACAGTGCAATATTTAAAAAAATTAGAGTTAGAGCGACAACGGATCTTGAATTCAAAAAGCACAAATCCTTAAAGATCGAGGAAAACTTCAATTTTTTATCCTAAAGTACGAAGATCGAGGAAAACAATAAAAAACAAAAACCTACTCTTTGCTCGGATGAGAATTTAAAAAACAATTGATCAGATGTGTTGTAGTTTCTGCATACTGTACACAAAAAAAATTTAAATTACACAATCACTTGCTATTTAGAATTATACTTGAATTAGTTTCCTCTTTCTCAGAAAAAAGATTAATCTTTTGAAATTAATTGGATAAGATAAAAACATAAAGCAACCCTAGTCGCTCATTGATGCAATATTCATCAAGATCCAAGCACATGAAATGTAAAAAGGGTCAAAATAAAACCTAAGTTTCACCAATCCACAAATTAAACAAAAATGAGCGACAAATTAGATACAACGCTGGATTGGAAAGATAAAGGGGGGAAAGAGGCACACTTTTCATGTAATATCCAAAATTGTGCTTTAATCGCAAAAATCCTAGTCGCGAAGCGAGCAGTGCTGAACCCTAAAAATAAATAGCTTGGGCGACTCAAAGAGACAAGGAAATTACAACTGAGAAGCGCGTCGCCCCACCCTCGCCTTTTTTTCTTTTGTGATATTTTACGCCGTCAAATAATACCCATCACTTGCGAGACACGTGACAAGCTGCCGACTGAATGGCTGATGAGACACTTGATAACTATCAGGATTATTCGAAACAATTATTGATTAATTATATGTTTACTGTGAAAGGGTAAACTTTACCTATATAACCTATACTTTCCCCCAAGCGTGCACTTATGTACCCCCACTTGTACTCATGTGCAATTAAATACCCTATTGTTTTAAAAGTATCCATGAAAAGAGGAGAAAATAGCGCTGGCTAGTTTTCTTGACTTATTAGTTCATTGAATTTATATTGATTCCCGTCACTGTGCTCGCAATGAGTTCTCCAAAGTGATCAACTTTTTTAATAAAATCACTCAACTCCCTTTCATCTCTTACTTTAATCAATTTGACTTTTGAATAAAAGGGCAAGCATGATGAGTTTGTATAGTTTGGGTGTATTTTGGTTACTGACTTTCAACTATTTTGAGTTAAATTGGGTTTTTAAATTGTGTTTTTTGGATTTAAGTTATTGTGACTGGTTTCATGTTTTCCTGCAAGTAAAATGGGAAGAAAGAGAATGAGGATCAGGTCATACATGTATGTATTAAAGTGGGTTTTTAGATAGGTTTAGGTAGGTTTTAGTAGGTATGTAATGAATACAAGCAACATTGACAGAAAACAGCTAATTTTGCAAATATTCTGATGTCAAATTAACAGATGGTAGTAAACTACACCATTTTAAAACAATAGGGTATTTAATTGCACACAGATACAAGTGGGGGTGTATAAGTGCACATTTGGGGGGAAGTATAAGGTATATAAGTGCGTTTTATCCTTATAGTAAACATGCAAAAAACCTATAATCACACTCGAATAATCTTGCTAGTTATTCAACTGTCTCATCAGTCATTTTTTGAGTCAACCGACAACTGGCCACGTGCCTTGCAAGTGCCGGGTATTATTCAGCTAAATAAAATACCATTGAAAGAAAAAAGATGAGGGGGTGCGGCAAAGAGCGTCTCTGTTTAATCTCTCTGAGTTGATCAAGCTATTTATTTTCTAGGGTTTCGCTCGCTGTTTACTTCGCAATTAGGGTTTTTGCGATCGAAGCACAATTTTGGGGATTTTGTTCAAAGAGGTGCCTCTTTTCCCCTTTGTTAAATCCAACGTTGCATCTAAATTATCAATTGATTTTTAGAATTTGTGGAAAGTTAGGGTTTTGTTTTGACACTTTTTTAGTTTCTTATGCATGGATCTTGATGAAATTTGCATGAATTCAGCGATTAGGTCTGGTTTATCTTTTATCTTATCTGGTTGGTTTTAAAGGATTGATCTTTTTTTTCCTGCTAAAGAGGAAGCTAGTTTGAGTATACTTCTAAATAGCAATAGAAAAAACTGCAACATTACAGGCAAAGAGTTTTTTTTTCTCTCTTGTTTATTGTTTTTTTTTCTCGGTTTTGTTCTTCTTAGGAATAAAAAAAATTGAATATTTCATCAACCTGAAAGGATTTGTGATTTCTGAAATCAAGCTCCATCGTCTATCTCTGAGCATAAATTTTTTAAATATTGCATTGTATCATCTAGTTCTTATGAACTGGATATGTTTGTTTATAATACTGTTAACTGGATTGTTGCTAGATAATGTTGTTTTATCTTCTTTATTGGCTAATTATCTTGACGTGTTATGACTGTTAGTCGATATTTATAAATAATCATGATGAAATATGCATAATTTATTTATTTATGGGGAGAATGAGCTTCGAGTTGCATTGAAAACAAAGGAAAAGCAATATGAGTAATAATTATGCATGAACATTTCACTTGACTTATCTGAGATTGAGCTTAACTGTTTACATATCAATGACCAGTTAATGGAGCAATAAGACCATGTTATTGTTGGAGTTTAGAGCCAATTGGTTGGTTACTTCGATAGATTTTTTATGATTATATAACGTCAATATTGAACACCATTGGGTTGAAATGAACCTCTTCTGAAGTTGCTATCATTTGACAACATAGTAGACATTAGTGCTTGACGGTTTGAAAGAAGCTAACTGTTTAACTACAGGATCTTAGGAGCAATGGCTTGATGTATTTCATATAAAGTACACTAATTACTATATTTATATCCATTTTTTTAACTATAGATTTGAGTGGATGTACAAATATGGTCAGCAACGAAAACTCATATGTTATGGCTACCACTGGATGTGAGAGACACATGTATGGATATATGTCGAATATAGAGAAAGAAGTAAAAACTCAAAAGTATATAGGTCCTATGATATAGGATCTATATATTAACCTTTCGATCCGTACATATATTTACACATCAAGAATAATATTTTAGAAATTCATTATTCATGCTTATAGGATATCAGCTTCCCCAATTATACAACTAGCTGACCTATATTCAGGTCACAATGGACCAACACATGAATAATTCTTTAGTAATAGAATATCATAACTGCGGAAGCTATGAGAATGAACTCAACTAATTATCTAATTCTAATCATCATATTTCCCTTCTTAATCGAATCATCATCATGAGATTTCTCTCATTAGTCATTTCTACAATCTATGATGATCCATATGTTGTTGCCTAATCGAAAAAGATGTATACAAGTGATTTGTGAATATAACTAATAGGTTTTTTTACTTGAAAACCACCTAACTTTTGGTGAAATTGATAGAAACCACATTTCATTTTTTTAATGAAAATCACTTTACTTGATGGTATCTTTGCAACACCACTAAATTTTTTTTCACATTTTTAGTTTAAAAAAGACGCACTTCCATTTTACCCTCCGCCTAAAGCTTGTGCAAAGCACGTGAGACCCCTCTTAACTCACCCATAACTAAAATTAGGGTTCCAGTTAGGTTTAGGGTTTGGGTTAGGGTAAATGTTAGGATTAGGGTTCGGGTTTGCTTCCCACTTCTCTCACTTTTATATCCCACCTTGAAACTTTGAGGGAGGGAGGGAGGGATTATCATATAACCAGAAGTTCCAAAAAAGCATGAGATTGCAATGAAACCATCAAGCAAAGGTGGTTTTCATTAAAAAATAATGCTAATAACAAAGGAAAGGTGGTTTCTAACAATTTTACTAAAAGTTACAAAAAGATAAAAAGGTCATCCAGCTGAAGTTATTACTTGTAAGCAGATTTCTCTCTGCAACTCATGCGAGGTACTAAATTGAACAGGATTGCTTGAAAATTTTGTTTATGAGTCTTTTTTCATTGTCAATGTTCCCTGCTTTCTTAGGATCCTTGGGCTTTGATAGTGGTGCTTATGTTTCTTGTTGTTGCGTACAGGAATGCTAAAGATATGATAAGCCAAGAAAGAATAAATTAAACCCAGTGTATTGGACAAACAAATTCATATGGCTGGTATATTACCAGGGGATCCTTCACATCACGGAATGGTAGAAAGTAGTCCTTACAGATTTTCTCACGATAAGATGGAGGAAGGTGATCGCATTGGTTCCAGTTGGTATCTTAGCCGGAAGGAAATTGAAGAAAATTCCCCATCTCGAAGAGATGGTATTGACCTTAAGAAAGAGGCATATTTTCGTAAATCGTATTGCACATTTCTACAGGATTTAGGGATGAGACTTAAAGTGTAAGTTTTCTTTCATTGTTACTGTTTTTTTATTACTTCTTACATCTGGTTTATGGACAATTTTGTAAAAAATTGAATTGTCTTTAATTTTTTTCTATTCCTAAGCTAGATTAATTGATAATATTCTTTTATCTATATTTGGTAGCCCCTAGTTGTAGCCTTGTAGGTTTCATGCACAATTTGGAGGGCTTCGGAAAATAGCTTCGTGCACTTGTTATCTCCACATTTTTTGTAACTTTTTGTTTGTCATCTCATCTTCTGAGAATTGACTCTTCATTTTCGTTATGCATTTTTGTAACAAACAGCTAGTTATTCATTTTTTTTTATATTGCTCTATAGCATGTCTGATTATGCTATAGATCTAGCATTGTTGTAGTAAGGAATAACTTCCTGACTAACTGAAGCAATAGTAAACGCTAGTCAGTGGAAATAGTTTTTTTTGGTATAAGTCCAATGGACTGTTTGCAGAGAGCAGTAGACCTTGTTGTAAGAACTCCAGTATAATTGTAATTCTCGCAGGTAGCAAATAACTTTCGACTATAAATATGCCGGTTGTTTTGAGTCTATATGTAATCTTAATCATATTAGGAATTAGTTAATCTTTTTATAAAAGAATAATAACTTGAACCAACTACCAATATCAAACACATGATGTAGAACTTGTTAAAAGAAAGTGAGCGTGTTACCTCACAAGAATTTCACAAGTGCAAAAGCTCTAAAGTTTCACAGTGATGCTTCTTGATTAATCTAATTCATCTCTAATTAGTTATTCAAAAGTGATGGCTTTTGTTTTTGGATGAGATGAATGGTTATTATTAGGTTTCTCAAACCTTATATAGGTAAGTCATGACCCTTATGCAATTATGGCATTTCACCTATGAACGTAATACTTTATTATTAACTTCATATCTTTATTAAGGTCAAACATTCATAACTTTACTTTGTAAATACATGACAAATAATTTCATACATTATGATATCATTTTTAAAGTCATGAAAAGTAATTCATGATTTATGATATCATTTAGTTAATGTCATGAATTTATTCATTCTAAGCAATCATTTCAATGACTAGGGTTTGTAAGAGCATGTGGCGTGGGATTCATATAGGACCTCTCTACTCCTTAAATTAGTCTACTAATTTAGTTGTAATCATGTACATGAACAAGCTGCAATTTTCGCACAAAGGATAGAGATTTAATTGTGAAATCCCAAAACTAATATTTCATATAAGTTTGTTGAATTAGACCTCCATAGTCACTGTCAATCCCATAACTTATATGTGTATTTTTTTTAATATAATTGAAAAAAAAACAATTTAGAAAACCCTTTTAATGAAATATATATGGCTGATATATTTTAATATATAATATAAAGTATTTGAAAAACATTTTTTAAAGTGACTGTCTGGATTTAATCCAATATATAAAAGATACATTCAAGGATTCTTCTACTTTGGAAGTGACAGATTTTCTATTAAATGACTACAACCCTTCATGCGCTCATTAAATGGTCCAATATGTCCATGTATAGCCTTTGATTAGACATCACCAGTAGACAATATCAAAACTATATAATTTATACATAAGACATTTCAAGTCAAAAGGATTTTTTGTATATTGTGATTAGAATAACTCTCCTTCATGAGAGTGATAGATCTAAGAGTATTCTAGAATTTGTCCAGTTTGATACTTGTCTTCACAAATATCCACATGTTACTAAGAGTTTTTACTCTAGTGGCTTAGTGGTTGAGACACACCACTCTATCACATGTAGTAGTACAGCATGTGGCAACCATAAAAGAGAATTTGTCCTAATAATATTTCATAGGTTGTGAACAAATTTAAGATCACAAGGAAATAGAAATTTATGTCTCCTTGTCAGTAACCTATTACGAACATAATTCTGTACAATGTAAACAAGGACAACTCATATCGTAATATGAAAATGACAACTATAAATATGCATGTAAAATTTTATTTATTATTGTACAATAAATTTATTGACTTTGTAGGGCATGCAACTCTTTCATGTTTAGCTAGTTATATGTTGTCTATGGAGTCATATTATCCTAATACGTAGTCAGTAGTCAGAGTCAGTTTTACAGCATGTTTTGAATTCTAACCCAGGTGTAACTGAAGACCCTCCTCTTGATAAGTGGAGCGTGTTCCCTGTTAATGTTAATATTCTTCTGAGAGGAGATAACTTTAATTTGCTCATCTTCCATCTGATCCGTTGCTTAAATAAATTGTCATGTACCCCCAATATATCATTTTTTGTTGACCTATAACTCTATCTTGAACTCAAAAGACTTGAAGCAGATTCTTGTCCAGAATCAAGAACTTAGGTGGCCAGTCAGATGTGTTAGGTCTAGGGAATATTTGGGCAGGTGAAGTGCCTAAGAATCATTCAGGCATTTTTTTTCTTTAACATAACATCATAATTTCATTCCAATAAGATAACTGGTAACAAATGATATTTGAATCACCGAATGATTTTGTGATGGAGGACGAGTATGTAGGATGATGTAAATTGTCAATGTAATTATGTAAATGATCAATGCGCACAGGTTTACATGGATGATATGAAATGAAAACTTGGATGGAATTAATGTGCCCTTAAGAGAAAATTTTAGAAGGATAGCTACTAGCCTACTAGTAATGAATATTAAAACCTACAATGCAAAGTTAAGCACATCAAATATACAAGAGTTGTTAAGGTTAGGTTATGAAATCATAAATTATACATATCATCATATGTAATTGTGGAAATTTAACAACTGAATCAGGAAAAATGGCTTTGAATTTATTTTATACACGTAAAAGCAAGAAAATGAGATAACTTGAAAGCCTTGACCTGTTAGTAGGAGCTCCAACATGTTTTAAGATTATTCACTATTTGGAGAGAGAATAAAGAGGGGTCTCTCTTGAAGGAGAATATTCCTGTCATGCAATACAGCTGTTGGTCTCATCTTGGTTGTTAGGGTAACCACATGTTGCATCAACTTATGATGAGAGATAATGAGTAAACAGCTTGATGTTCAGAGTTTCGGGTTGTCAAACTTATTGAAGAGTCAGGCTAACATTCATAGTCATCTATATCAAATATTGTTATCATAGTGTATTGTGTAAGCCATGGAAAATCATACTAGTAGTGGAGTCTTGCAGAACCCAAATGAGGTATATGTTTAATGTTAAGCGAAAACCTATTATGTTTGAAGAAGAAGTTTAACAAACTTGTATAATGATAAATTTTGATAGGCCAATCTATTTAGCTGATTACTTTATTGTGGTTATTTTGTTTGATATCCTCAAAGCTATTACAATATGCATACTCTTGACTTATCCTTTGTTTTATTGGTACTCTTGGTTCTGTGAAAATGCATTATGTCAAGTCTCAAGTGAGATCTGCTTTAGTTGATCGGTTTACTTGGTAGTGATGGCAAATGCTTTTAATACAGACCTCAGGTCACAATCGCCACTGCTATTGTTTTCTGCCATCGCTTCTTCCTTCGCCAATCTCACGCAAAGAATGATCGGAGGGTAAGAATTAGGTTCTTCTAGCATTTATGTTGTTTAATGCTTTTGCCTGTTTTTGGCAAGATGTCATATTTTCTGTTTATGTTTTCTTCTAAATGTAACTCGTGTTTGAATAATGATTTCAGAAGTATTAGTAACTACTTGGCATTTGGTATTGTACAGATGCCTGAAATTATTTATTATTTTTCTACTATACTAGAACACCACTCTTCCATGGATTTCGTAGACTTAGTTAAAAAATTATACTTTTAGTCGCTGATATGTATTCTCTTATTGCTGATGTATAGGTCCTGGGATATTTATGTAATGCAATATTCTTAAATGTTGTTTTTTAGTAAAAATGACTTAATGTATACATGGTTCCATTTTAGGTATTAGGTTTTTGTTGTAATATCCATAAATTCTTATAAAAGAGCTGACTCACCAAAATTGAGTGAAATTCAGTGAAACTCTCCTACGATGCCTAGATTTGAGTTTTGAAGTACACGGGGCTCATCGCCTGGGCCTCAATAACTTTGAACCTTGTGTAGATAGCTATTACATGTTCTAGCAACAGTACTCAATGAGTCTCTGGCCAACCAACCTTTTCTACCTGTCCTTGGAAGTTGGGTTTGCACCAGGGTACAAATGAGACAAGAAAAACAAAATTTTATCACTAGAAATATGAACTCTAAACTTATGAGACTTTACCTATTACTTTCATATTCAACTAAAATTATACATGATACAAAACTCGTTACAAGTTAATTTCATGGTGGGAAAAAGTTTAGACCCACAATACCAAACACTTGTGCTTGTGTCCGGCCGGTGTATTTCGGGCCTTTAAAAGGAAAATTTTGTCCCAATAAGGTCATGGGTCAGTTCTGCCTCTGTCAGTCTGTGTCATGTATTTCTGTTTTCTTCTTTATTTAGATTTGTCTTACATTTTTTAAGATGTTCCTTTTCTCTTTTGAGAATTTCTGGAATTCAAAATCTTCAAATATGTTCACTTATTTGCACTTCCCCTCATTTCTTGCAGGCATACATGTGTATTCTTGGTCGGATTGTGTTTCACGTGTTATGATAATGTGTACCTGGTTTTTCTGTTGGTTTCTAGTTTCTCTACATTTACACCTTGCATCTGTTTGCACCTTCTCGCACATTTCTTCTTTCTTAGGTTGTACAGTCATCTTGGTCTATCCTTTGTTATTATCATGATGAGGTTACTCCTTATCTACAAATCCCTATCCTCCACCTATTTGTATTTGTTTCCTGCAAGTTAGATAATTTTGTCATGCTTATATATCCTACGCACTTCTTTTTGAATATGTTCGATTTTCCTTCAAGTCTCACCTCTGAACTGAAGGTAATGAACTACTTTGCATTGATATAACTGTCTATTTGAAAGCTTCATTGAGGTAAACATATTTCACAGTGCTTTATCTCGTCCAAATAGTGGCTCAAACATTCTTTGAACAATGTATTTTTTTTTATTTTATGCTTTTAGATCCTATTTTGTGCTTCATTTGTAACCTGGTGTTTAAGGTTTTCTGTGGTGGAAATATTAGTTCTGCTACTTAAGTAGCTGCGACCTCCCTGCAATTAATTCATCGATATTTATCATATTCTATAGCTTAATATTCTAACTGTTCCTGACAGAAAATACTTCCAATGGAACTAATGTTAACAAAAGGCTAGGTTAGTCTGCTTCTAAGTCATTAATCTTGATGGTTAACTTTATTGCAATATGGTTTGCAGACTATAGCCACTGTTTGCATGTTTTTGGCTGGAAAGGTTGAAGAAACTCCTCGACCCTTAAAGGATGTCATTCTTGTGTCCTATGAAATTATCCACAAAAAGGATCCTGCTGCTATTCAGAGAATCAAACAGAGGGTAATAAATTTGAGTTCATTAGAACTAATTTTCTTTCGTTGCTGTAACCCTTTAATCACTTGATTTTTTTAATTATATTCACTTGATTCAATGCTAGAGTTCTGATTACTTAAGACATGGCAGTCTTTTCTTGGATAGTAACGCTTAGCTGGAATTTAAAGAATTATGAACTGTAGTTGTATTTTCTTTGCTCCTTCTGTTCTCATACACATGATTCCTGTTGTTATTTGTAAAAAATGTTATTTTGTAAAAAAAAATTGTTACTGTTACTGTCTACTTTTAAGTGATATGTAGCTGCTCTTTTTTGCATGTAGGAAGTGTATGAACAACAGAAAGAACTTATCTTACTGGGGGAACGGGTAGTACTAGCGACTCTTGGTTTTGATCTTAATGTGCATCATCCATATAAACCCCTTGTGGAAGCAATAAAGAAATTCAAGGTTGCGCAAAATGCCCTTGCACAAGTTGCTTGGAATTTTGTTAATGATGGGTATGCCAAGTTACATTTTCTTTTCTAATTTTGAATTCTCAATAATGTGTATTTATTACGCACTGGAAGGGGTGTGCAGGCTACGTACTTCACTTTGCCTGCAATTTAAGCCTCATCATATAGCTGCTGGTGCTATATTTCTCGCTGCCAAATTTCTGAAAGTGAAGCTTCCCTCTGATGGTGACAAGGTCTGGTGGCAAGAATTCGATGTCACCCCACGGCAACTTGAAGGTTTGTATCCCTTTTAGATATTCCGACATGCTTATTATACTTCGATATGTTCCATTCCCTTATTATTGGTAACTTTTGGCGCTGGATTTTTCAGCCTTCATGTTATTGAAACTTTCATTCCCTTGAAGAATTTTAAAATATACCATGAAACTTGCTAGGAATGCTTTATCTTGTCTATCATTCCATATATCACGTGATGAGATACCAACATTTCAAGATATGTCTCCTGTTTTCAGCTTTTAACATTTTTGTGTAGACTAATAATTCTCAGATATGAAATGATTCAATATATTTTCAATCGGATTATCTTGTCTATTTATTAGAAACCTTTTTTTCTTTTTCCAGTGCCGGCGGGTTCCGAAAGATTTCCTTCCCACTTGCATGACCTTAAATGATTTGTTTTCTTTGTTTACTACCATCGACCCCTTTAGCTTTGACCAGTGTGTTAGAAGACAGTAGACAAAAGTAGGTGGCGAACTGATGGAGGACTGAGCAGTTTGAATTTTTGGAAGCCAGTATGGCAACAAATAAGAAAGGAAATTTGGGAGCAGAGACATAAGATGGTGAAAGAAGATTATGATTATTTTGTTCTATTTTACTTAAACCATTTTTTTGGTATCACACCAATCTCAATTATAATTGTCTCATGCCCGAGCCCTTGGATCAACAACGTCATGCCAATTAAGGTTCACGATCTCAAACTAGTCAATCACACCCGAGATTGTACTGTGCAATCTGAAGAAATCATCACCTTTTCATAAATATATTCGTAGCTTTTCTAAAGAAAAGCTAGTCTTTATAGACTTACAGGAAGAATGAACATACCACCCACGGGTGGGACATTCGGTCATCAGCACCATGGGGTGGGATTCGCCGCCTAGGACTTCGTTCCCTGATGACCGTGTGTTCGAATCCCCGCGAGTAATTCACCTGCTGTCCACGCTCTCGGGTGGGGTGGAGGCCGGGGTTTTATCTGGTCAGTGGCGGCTCGACCCGTCGTCCCTGGTTCGGATCCAACCGGACCACACACTGCACGCCCCGCCGTGTGGGGCCCGCTGCCCTCACGTGTGGGGGATGAGCCCTCGAGCAACCGTAGAGGTAGCTCCTTGTAGTCGTGGGGGTCTGGTATCACACCAATCTCAATTATAATTGTCTCATGCCCGAGCCCTTGGATCAACAACGTCATGCCAATTAAGGTTCACGATCTCAAACTAGTCAATCACACCCGAGATTGTACTGTGCAATCTGAAGAAATCATCACCTTTTCATAAATATATTCGTAGCTTTTCTAAAGAAAAGCTAGTCTTTATAGACTTACAGGAAGAATGAACATACCACCCACGGGTGGGACATTCGGTCATCAGCACCATGGGGTGGGATTCGCCGCCTAGGACTTCGTTCCCTGATGACCGTGTGTTCGAATCCCCGCGAGTAATTCACCTGCTGTCCACGCTCTCGGGTGGGGTGGAGGCCGGGGTTTTATCTGGTCAGTGGCGGCTCGACCCGTCGTCCCTGGTTCGGATCCAACCGGACCACACACTGCACGCCCCGCCGTGTGGGGCCCGCTGCCCTCACGTGTGGGGGATGAGCCCTCGAGCAACCGTAGAGGTAGCTCCTTGTAGTCGTGGGGGTCTGGGGGGATTCGAACCGGGGCACGACGGACTCCAAAGGGAGTTCAAGTGGAGGCACAGACCGGGGTTCCCTCGTTACCAAAAAAAAAAAAAAAAAGGAAGAATGAACTCTAGACATGCTAAAATAAAACTTTCTTAATAATCAGGTTCTAAAAATATTCGCAAAAAACAAATACAATTAACCAATAGTATTGATGTCTTTTGTAGGTAAGGCTACCCAAAAAAAAAAGCCCTAATAAAATCAAAATTTTAATACCAATGGAGGTCTTCATTTTCTGCTTTTCATTGGTCATCTTTTCTTTTATGATTTTCCAAGCAAAAATCATCGTACATTGTGGAACCAACGCTAACATTTAATTGTCTAGTCCTTCCTTTTCTAATTAATAGATTTAATAGAAGCAAAAGGTTATGAGAAAATTTCAACAAATTATTGGAAAGTAACTATGGGAAACTCTATAAAGGGTAGTCTAATCAAATATTCAGCGTTTATGACTAAGATAATAACTTCTAAGGTACAATTAACTAGTAAGTGGGGGCTAAAAAAGAAAGGCACCAACAGAAGGATGGTGTAGAATTAGGGTTAGATTTCAGTTATTAAATAGTATGGACGGATTAAACCTGACTTGCTTTTTCTAAATGTTTGTGAATGTAAATCCCAAAAACTGAAGAGGCCACTTAACCTAAGCCCATGCTGCTTAATCATGGCCTTGCCTGTCACCGAGCACATCAATGTTCCTGATTATGGCGTAGTGTGCCAGTCTTTCCACTTCCTTTAAGTGCATGTTTAAGCTGTTATTTTACAATGAAGTTGTGATCTGACCACCTGTCACACATAGTTACTGCTGCTAGGGACTTGGTACCATGGAGTTTAATGACTGGTTTACAAGTTAATGAAGTCTTGATTGAAACCACCTCTTACACATAGTGACTGCTGCTAGGGACTTGGTAGTTGGTACCATGGAGTTAAGTGACTGGTTTACAAGTTCATTAAATCTTGATTGATTGTATTGCAGAGCTTTTACACTTCATGCTATGCTATATAGTAGGCGTTAGTTCATTGAAAGGTCATGAAAATGAACCAGTGGATAAGATGATTTCTCAATGAGCTTTTGCTTGGCTCTTTGGCTTCAAGAAGTAACACAACATCCTGTAGCAAACCTTATCGTCTTTCCTTTCATCCTGCTTACTCTGTAATAGCGTCAGAGTTCTCCCTGATAATTAGAATGTAGCATGTGTTTCCTTCTTGATGAATCTGTTTCCTTGTTTGAAACTTTGTTCCCACTCAAGTGATCGAGAATACAGAATTTGGCTCCTGAAAGAGCCTTGCATATTTCAACAACCTATAGTTAATGATATGAGATTTCCAATGTTAAGTAATCCGGTCATATATTTAGTTTAGCAGTTAATTTCCCATTAATCTTTTCATTTTATTTGAGTCGCCTTTAATTATATTCACCAAGAGAATTTGCTTTTTATGAACCATTTATGTCTGAGCAGTATGGCCTCGAGAGCTGCCTCTTTTTGACTGCTATCTTTTCACTAACTATCCAACTTATACTCTCTTATGCAGAGGTTAGCAATCAAATGTTGGAATTATACGAACAGAACCGGACAGCACCATCCCATGGAAACGAAACAGAAGGGAGCTCTGCAAGTGTAGTCAATCATCGGGCTCCCCCAAAAGCATCATCTGCTATCGAGGAGACACCATCACAAAATCAGACTGCTGGAAATTCTAGTTTGCACACTGATAGACAAAACCCTACCCAGAGACTTTCACAGAACGAAAGAAATGACCATGACAGTAGAGAGTCAAAAGATCGTCACCATTTTGAGCCAGGAAATGCTTCAGAAGGTCCAATTGAAGATCCAGTGGAAACTAATCAATCGAGAGAGAAAAGTTTGGGACATAATGATGGCCCCAAGAGCTACTCTCCATTGGATGCTATAAAAAAGATCGACAAGGACAAGGTGAAAGCTGCACTGGAGAAACGAAGGAAGGAACGAAGTGAAGTTGCAAGGAAAATGGACGTCATGGATGATGATGACCTTATTGAGAGAGAGCTCGAAAGTGGTATTGAGTTGGCAACTGAGGAAGATAAGGTAAAACAAGAGAGGAGGCAAAGCTGGTCGAAATACAAGCAAGAACATAAGAACCAAGACCATGGTATTGAGAATGGAGAGCTTGTGACTGAGAAAGAAATTGAGAATGCTGAAGAGGGGGAATTCCATTCTCCAGAGCCTTCTAGCAGAAAGAGAAAGGATTATGATTATCAGAATCAATATCCGCCTTCAAAATACCGGGATTCTGATGATTCACGTGCAATGGGAAGGCTAGAGAGAGCTGAGAGGGATCATAAAAGGATCAGGCAAGAAAATCATGTGTGATGGGTTTTTTTTTTTTTTAATCATGATTTATTTATCTTTTGAGTGTAAAATGACTGGTAATTAAACTATTGGGCTCAGGGAGTTCAGATTGTAAAGTCTGATGCGTTTGTTGAGTTCGGCGTTGTTTGAGGCCCTTTGAGGAACTTGGCAGTGTTGCTGCATCACATCAAGTTCTCTTTCTATGCGCAACATCAGTACGTTGGTGCCTCTGAATTCATGAGCATAAAACTGTATAATCTCCCTCAAGCATTTATATCCAATGAGGGATAAAACTGTAATAAACCATTTATATATTTTTGCTGTTGATCTTTTTTAAATTTATATAATTGAAACTTCTGGATTAGGATAGTACTGCAAAATCTCAGCTCTCTGCAAGTTTCAGGTATTTGCTTCCATTTTGATGCATTTAAAAAGTTTGGACTGGAATTGCAAAGGTGCTGCTACTTGCTCCTTGTGGTTTTTTTTCTTTCTGCTACTGTGTGCGGCGGGCTACGTCGTTATGTGGGGTCACTGAAATTTGAGAGGATATATTTTCGGGAGTCTCTTGCAGCGTAGTTATAAGGTGAAACCTCAGTCTAGAATTTTGATTCTGGTCTCATTTATTTGCAAGTGAAAAGGTCATTCTTTAAAATCTGAAATGTTCATTTATAACTAAGACGTTCATGATTTGTTTCAAATATGATTACTATTCTATTCGCTTGAATTACAATCATTCTATATATTTAGGATAAATCATGCTAAAGGATTCGGAGCAGAGGAACCCCCCTATCACTGAGTAGGTGGTGTTATCTGCTGTCCATCTCTAGTGGAAGTCATCTCTGTTTCATCAATATATTAGTATGGTGATCGTATTGGCAGCCCCATAGGTGGTGTGTGTATAAAATTAGCAAGGATAAATTTTCAAAACCAACTCTTTTGAAATTTTATTTTCACTTTTTATATGTTACTTAGCATTTTCGACCTCCTCTCAGCCAGTTGCCTGAAATGGGGTCGCAAATGCTGCTAAATAAGTTGCGAAAATTTCATGGGATTTAAAATCTCGTGAAGTTTAGTCCTTAATTAATCAGCGATAAACAAAAAATTTGGCACGGGTGGTGGTTTGTTACCAAACTTTACAGGATTCTAAATCCCGTGAAATTTATAGTAAGTAAACTTCACAAGTAAAGCAATTATGTTTAGGGAGTTTAGTGATTATAGCATTAGTTTATAACGCTTGGATAGGAAGTGCAGTATGTTGGAAGCTTATTCATGAAAAGGCAATTTTGCCTTTGTGAATAGTCCCACATCGGAAAATGAGATGAATAGTAAAGGGTATATAATGGTTCTCTCCTTATTGGGCTTTGAATAGTGTTTTGGGTTTTGTGGGCTTTGCGGTTCTACCACACACGCGCGCACGCACGCCACGTCGCGCCTCGTCGCGCCCGCACGCCACGCCGCAGCCGCACACTTTTGCTTCTCAAGCCTTCATTTTTGCACGTTTTACACATTTTGTAACGGCTGCATGCGGGTAACGGAAGCATTAACCGTGCGTAACGGTTCCTTGGATTCAGCGGGGGTTACACCTTTCATCGCCTATAAAAGGAGGCTTGGAGCTCATTCAGAATCACACCAACGAAGAGGAAAAACTCTACACTCTCTTCTCTTCTCTACTTTTATACCTCCAAGAAAAGATTTCGGCTACATATTTACATATTCTATTTTCTGGGCAACTGTTTTCGTCTGAGCATAAGCTCTGTGTCTCACGCCCGAGTGCAGAGGCCGGCCGATTCCGGGGGTTTTTACCGCTAGGGGAGAGAGGACAAACTGCGCCAGGGCGATAGGCGGGTCCTTAATCTTCTAGGGCAATGATATCACGACTGCTCCCAATCAGGCCTAAATTTTCTAACTCTTTAATTTGTTTTATATTATTATTGTTTTGACAGCAATCTAGAAGATTAAGGAATAATTCTTGCTGTTAAGTTAATTAGTAAAAAAAAAAAGTAATAAAATTTTTTTACTGTTCATCGGGATTACTGTTCACCCGCATTTTATATATTTGTTGTATTAGTTAATTGTTTTAATTTGTTGCATCTAAATTAGTTTAAAAAAAAATTATTATTTCTTTGCTGCTTCTGTGCTCAAATTCAGTATCTGTCATAAACAAAAAATCTTTAAGTGAACCGGTTCAAGTTTTCTTGGATTAGTTGGTGTCTAAGGAAAGGTTTAAGGGTTGCGTAAAGCGCTCTGCAAGAAACGAGGTACTTAATCGATCATTGATCAACCTCTAGTACTATCCTTACCTGGCCAAACTACCAGAGTAAAACTTTAATCTTTTCACTTTTAGAGTTTTTGGTTAAGAGCAGGTTTAATTAAGTTTCTGGTCTAGTAATATTGACAAAATCCTTTTTTATATCAGATTACATCTACCTAGACTAGTAAACTTAAATTTGACTTATGGTAATTCCTGATCATTCAAAAAGTGTCAAACCTGAGAAGTTCACCGGTGTTAACTATAAACGGTGGGCTAATCAGATGAAATACTGGCTTACTACCTTAGGTCTTTTATCTGCTATTGACACTTCTGAGTCATCTACTAGTGGTTCTCAACCTTTGACTCCTGATCCTGCTCAACCTGCTCCTTCCACTTCTGGTTCTGGTGCTAGCTCCTTTTCTAGCTCTATGAAACCAGAAGAAATCAACTATCATTGTTGTCATAGGATTCTTAGTGCACTTGCGGACAACCTTTATGACATATATTATGAGTTCAAAAGTGCAAAAGAACTATGGAACAACAAAGTTAATATGATTGAAATGAATCCAACCTCCTTCAGGTTAGCCTCTTCATCTCATCTTGTAAATTCTCTAACTTCTTCCACTGATTGGTATTTGGATTCCGGAGCAAATATCCACGTCTGTAATGACCGCTCTTGGTTTTCAAATTATCAGGAATCACGTGGAGGAAGCATAAGCTTAGCAGATGACTCCACTAATTCAATAATAGGAAGTGGACGTATAGAGCTCACCATGACTTCTGGGAAAGTTCTTCATCTGCAAGGCGTTTATCATGTTCCTTCTCTCCGTCGCAATCTGATTAGTGAATCTCTTCTTCTTAGAGCTGGTTATAGGATTGTAAAAGAATCCAATAAATTTGTGATTACAAAGAGTAATGTTTTCATAGGAAAAGGTTTTATCTGTAATGGCCTTTTCAAACTCAATGTAATCAATTCCAGTTCTAATGAAATTTCTGAGTCTTCTGTTATTCAAATTGTTGAGTCTTGTGATGTTTGGCATGGACGACTTGGACATGTTAATTTCCAAACCTTGCAGAGAATGAGTAAATTAAACCTCATTCCTAAATCTTCTCATGATCCCTCATCTAAATGTGAAATCTGTGTTCAAGGGAAACACACTAAAAAACCCTTCAAGTCTATAACTAGAAACTCTGAACCCCTCGAATTAATTCATAGTGATGTGTGTGACTCTAACCGAGTTCTCACCCGAGGGGGTAGGAGATATTTTGTGACTTTTATAGACGATCACTCCAGATATTGTTACACCTATCTTCTCAAAACTAAAGATGAAGTCTTAGATAGGTTTAAGGTGTTCAAAGCTGAATCTGAGAACCAACTTGACAGGAAGATCAAGATTCTAAGATCTGATCGTGGGGGGGAGTATACCTCAAATCATATGACTGAATATTGCCAAGAACACGGTATTATTCATGAGGTTACTGCTCCCTATACACCACAGTCTAACGGGGTAGCTGAACGAAAGAATAGAACCCTAATGGACATGGTGAACTGTATGTTACTCAGTTCAGGAGCACCTGAAAATCTCTGGGGTGAAGCTCTTCTTTCTGCTTGCTTCATTCTCAATAGGATTCCCCAGAAATATTCCGATACAACTCCTTATGAATATTGGAAGGGGAGATCTCCTAATCTAAATTTCTTCCGGGTTTGGGGTTGCTTGGCTAAAGTAGCTATTCCCGAACCTAAGAAGAGAAAAATTGGTTCTAAGACTGTAGATGCTGCTTTTATTGGATATGCACTTGATAGCAATGTTAACAGATTTTTAGTCATCAAATCTGAAATCAGTGACATATCCAACAATACCATCATTGAAGCAAGAGATGCAGTCTACTTTGAAAACATCTTTCCTTTCAAATCTAAAATCTCAGAAAATCCCAGATCATCCATTCCTTCTGATCTTCCATCTTCCAGTTCTTTTCAACCTCTTGATATTGAACCTCGAAGAAGCAAAAGAGGTAGAATCGAAAAGAATTTTGGAGAAGACTTCCTTACCTTTCTTGTTGAAGGTGATCCAAGCTCATTCCAAGAAGCAATGGATTCACCTGAATCTCCTTTCTGGAAAGAAGCCATTGATAATGAAATTAAATCTATCATGGAAAACCATACTTGGATACTCACCGACTTACCTCCAGGTTGTAAACCTATTGGTTGTAAGTGGATATTCAAGAAGAAACTCAGAGCTGATGGTTCCATAGATAAATTTAAAGCTAGATTAGTAGCTAAAGGCTTTACTCAACAAAAGGGCATTGATTATTTTGATACATATTCTCCTGTAGCCCGAATATCAACTATCCGAGTATTACTAGCCTTTGCTGCTATCCATAAGCTTATCATACATCAGATGGATGTCAAGACTGCTTTCCTGAATGGTGATTTAGATGAAGAAATCTATATGCACCAACCTGAAGGCCTCATTGCCAAGGGTCAGGAAAACAAAGTCTGTAAGCTTGTTAAATCTTTGTATGGTCTTAAACAAGCTCCTAAACAATGGCACCAGAAATTTGACAACGTCATTGCACAATATGGCTTCACTGTGAATGAATACGATAAATGTGTCTATTCTAAAGTGATAAACAATGACTATGTCATTCTCTGTCTCTATGTTGATGATATCCTTATCTTTGGAACAACACTTGAATTAATTTCAAAGGTAAAGGATTATCTTTCCAAAAAATTTTGATATGAAAGACTTAGGTCTTGCAGACATGATACTTGGAATGAAAATCTCTAGAGACACTAGAGGAATATCTTTGAGTCTTTCCCATAGCATTGATAAAATGCTAATCAAATTCAACTTTCATAACTCTAAACCTGTTTCCACACCTTATGATTCTTCTATACCTTTGAAGAAGAATGAAGGTGAACCTGTCTCCCAACTAAAATATTCTCAGATGATTGGATCTCTTCTTTACATATCCAACCGAACCAGACCTGATATAGCTTATGCTGTAGGGAGACTGAGTCGGTATACTAGCAACCCTAGCAAAGATCATTGGTCTGCCTTAGAAAGAGTATTCAAATATCTAAAAGGCACAATTGACTATTGCTTGACTTACACTGGTTACCCTGATGCTATAGAAGGGTATAGTGACGCCAATTGGGTCACGGATTCCAACAGTGTAAAGTCTACATCTGGATATGTATTTCTTTTTGGTGGTGCTGCTGTATCCTGGAAATCATGTAAGCAAACAATAATTGCCAGGAGCACCATGGAATCTGAGCTAATTGCTCTTGATACTACTTGCACAGAAGCCGAATGGTTAAAAGATCTTCTATCTGAACTTCCTTTGGTCCCTAAACCCTCTCCTCCTATTTCCATTCACTCTGATTCTAGATCTACCATAGAGCTTCTAAAGCAAGTACATGTAAATAAAAAACATAACAGACATATTCAAATAAGATATAAGTCTGTACAACGCCTATTAGGCAAAGTTGTGATCTTGGACTTTGTAAAGTCTGAGAAAAATCTTGCTGACCCTTTGACTAAGGGATTATCCAGGAGTGTGGTTCTGGATTCATCGAGGGAGATGGGGTTAAGCCCATAAATGAGGTCACTGACAGCGGCAACCCAACCCTTATTTGGAGACGTAGTCCCAATGTCGGTTCAATGTGGTAGAAACAAGCTGGACAAGTGACTCTCGTGTGGAGCATCGACCTAGATATATTTATATATCATTATGTAGCATTTGCTACTACCCCTTCTCTATGGTGACGATGCTCTTATGATACAGCTGGCTAGGCTGAGTTTTACTCTTAATAAGTCCAACGCGTGTATTGTGGGGGGTATTAAATAAACAGCTGTAGTACCCTTTGAGGACTTACCTACGTGAGAGGAACCGTGATGGCCGCGGTTGGGGGGGACAGGGCTGACCCCTAGAAACTCTCATGAGTCGATTCCGGGGGTTTTTACCGCTAGGGGAGAGAGGACAAAGTGCGCCAGGGCGATAGGCGGGTCCTTAATCTTCTAGGGCAGTGATATCACGACTGCTCCCAATCAGGCCTGAATTTTCTAACTCTTTAATTTGTTTTATATTATTATTGTTTTGACAGCACAGTATTTGAATCCCAACGTAGTAATTTTTTTTTACTATTCAAGGAAAAAATATGTTGGGATGAGATTCGAACCCAAGACCACTTGAATGATTAAAGTTTAGCATTCTTTGAGCCACTTAACCAACTATTACAATCATTTTAGATATGAACTTGAAACTATATGTTGAACTTTACGAGATTCTAAATCCCGTGAAGTTTAGTCCTTAATTAAATTGTATATAATTAAGGTCTAAACTCTAGGAGATGCTAAATCCCGTGAAGTTTTAGCAATTTATTCCGCATTTTCGACCTAGCTGGCTGAAACTAGGTCGAAAATACTAAATAAACGTCAAAGAGGCCGATTTTTAAAAATAAATCTCAAAAAGGCCAGGTTTTGAAAATTCAATTAGGAAATACCTCATAATTATTATTCGCTCTATGAAGTTACGGAAGTGATTCTAGTGAACTCGAACCCGGCATTTCCCGTTTCTTGTTGCCCAAGTACGTACTGAGTACAATATAAGCCCCTCCCTTTGATCGCTCGGCCGCGACCTCGCGTTCGTCCGTTCGCCTTCGTTCACGGGTACGTATTTTTGTCTCTTGCTCCTTCTTTTTCCGATCTAGCTTTATTAATTTTTGAATACGAAACGCTCGTCTAGATTTTATAATTGTTGGTGATAAGGATTGGAGGACTCTTATTCCTTAGTTAATTTTTTTTTTAATCTCGAGAGTTGGATGAAATTATATATGTATATAGTGTTCGATCCCATTATGTTTGTTTTTCCCCCTTAAAATCCTACGCGCTGCGCCGCCTAAGCAGTTCTCCTCTCCAGCCCTTTCTCCTCCTCAATTTTCCGAACAATACCCGACCCCAAACCCTAATTTAAAGAGTCCTCCCCACCGGCAACCTTCAAGCCTGGTGAATTTATTATTATTCGGTTTTTTTGGGTTCGTTTTCTGTTACTAAATCTATGTCTTGTCTTTTTAGTTTAATTTATTAGAGGACTTTTAGTTTAATTTATTGTTTTAGACTTTTGGGTTGCGTTTGGAATCAAGGATTTGATTTGAAGTTCTAGGCTTCAATTCTAAGATCTCAAATTAGTTATTCAATTCAAATGACTTGGATATCAATTCTAGAATTTTCAATTCCAAATCCACTGTTCGGAAAGTGTTGGAATTTCAAGTCTAGAATTTGGATTGGATTGACAGTATAGTGGATTTCAACTCATATTTGAACCAGAATCTTTTGATTCACATTGTCCTCATATTTAGACCATGATGGTAGACAATGATAGGATGAGAAAAAACTTCACTGTAAAACTATGAACTTTTATTAACTTTTTTATATATTATGCAAAAGGCCAACATTTATATGGTATTTTCAAAAATTAAAGACCAAAATTGACCCAGAAACTTATAGAAATGGATTCTAAACTCAAACCACATATACAAATACCAACATTTGATATCACAATCTCTTATAGTCTATATATTATTGCAGATTTCTTCATGATTAATTACAAATATTGACCTGTAGACATAACACATCAATATAATTAACTCATATAGAAAATAAACACAATTATTTAGCAGTAATCCAGGCTTAACAGTAACATAAATAAACATATCCAATTGATAACATCCATATGATACAATGCAATATTAAAAAAAATTAGGGTTATAGACAGATATTGGGGCTTGAATTCAGAAAGCACAAATCCTTTCAGATCGAAGAAAGCTTCAATTTTTTATCTCTAAGAAGGAAAATCTAGGAAAATAATAAAAAACAAAAGTATACTCTTTGCTTGGATGAAAATTTAAAAAAAAACAATTGATCAGATGTGTTGCTGTTTTTGCCTACTCTACACAAAAAAATTCAAATTACACAATGAATTGCTATTTGGAATTATACCCGAACTAGCTTCCTCTTTTTCGAATAAGAAAAAATTAATCTTTTGAAACCAATAGGATAAGATAAAACATAAAGTAGCCCTAGTTGCTCACTCATGCAATATTCATTAAGATCCAAGCACGCGAAACCTAACAGAGGTCAAAATAAAACCCTAAGTTTTCACCAATCCACAAATTAAACGGAAATGAGTAACAATTTAGATGCATTGATGGATTTGAATGATAAAGGGGGGAAAAGTGGCAGTGTGGCACCTTTTTCAATGCAATATCCAATACTGTGATTCAATTGCAAAAACCCTAATCACAAAGCGAGCAACGAGCAAAACGAGAGAACAACAGACATGTGCTTTCGAAGCACGTGACTACCTGCTAGTTTTATGCTAAATTGCACTTATATATCCTATAGTTTCCCAATGCTCTAAAAAGTGGCCTAGACAGACACGTAGAATTAGGCCGACCTCCAGCCGTCTAGAATTGTTCGGAGTGACCAATCTAGGCAGTGGAACAGCCTAGGTGGCACCTAGTACTAGGAGCTAGGCATGCCGCCTAGCTTTTTTTTATATATACTAGTATAATGCACGTGGCACGTGGGCATACTTGTTTTATATCCCAACATGTTCACCTTTTAACTGCAAAAAATTCATCACAAACAAATTATCGTAAGTGTTTAAGTTTTTACATATAATAATATGGATACATGAAATATCACATTCAATAAAATACACAGTTTATGTTAGTTGACGAGACTTGGTAAAATATCACTTTCATTGAACCTTTTTTAATCAAACACAAGCTCGTACAAAGTTTTATCAACAAAAAATGTAACTAATTATGATTGCTTCATATATGCATAAAAATTATGCAATATTTTATCTCTATTTAAACAAAATCAATTATCTTTACTGTATAGTACAGTCCACTTAATAGACTTTAAGGGGGGAAAAAAGCTCAGTGCATATATCGAAGTATCCAACTCACAAAAATAAAGTAAATTCAAACGCAATAAGTGTCTTATAGAAGCTCACTTCATACATGTGACCTTAGAGACCATTATTAGAAGAGACAATTTTAAACGTATAGTCCTGACCATCATAATTGAATGTTACACATTTCATATCCTAAGCACCTGACATTTACAATTATCAACGAATGCCTAATCCATGTACGTACCACCAGATATCATACATAACTAAACACTACAGATTCTAAAGGAAAACAAAGCAAAGATGTCAGTAAATATTCAAAATGTGCACAAATATTATGGATTTGAAAGGGAAAACACAACGCCAGCAAAAGTTCAAGTTTGTGGTCACAATATTATTTGAAGCAAATAATAAAAATAATTGATATCATAAGGTGTATAGTTGGTAATATGTCAAGCAAACCAAATAGTGCAAAATTTCTAAATTTTACCTTTCTAATCATCATAGTCCCCAGTGAACACAATCAAAGTTTTCAAACAAAATCTGAAGTAGACTCTCCATGCCAATCCGACCTTTAGATACTTCATTTGTGAGTGAATGAAAACTTACTTCAGTTTTTCCTCAAGAAGATTATAGCATGGACTACATCACCAGGGGTCACTAAAATATAAAAGTTCACTTAGTTTGTGTCCTGGGAAGAAATATATTTTTCCATAGATTTTAAGGACAAATTAAAAAAAGGGTCATGATGCTATTAAAGCATTCATCATTGAAAACTAAAGGATAAATAAATAGCTTTAAAAAACATATAATATACTCTTACCAAAAACTAAAAAAAATTAATGGAAATAAAAGGGGTTAATTTTAGAACCCCACTGAACTTTTGAGGGATTTTACAGATAACCACCCCCTCCCCTAGCCCAAACTACTTTTACTCTAGTAAATCTCCTTATCTTTTGGGGATGTTGCACATAACACCTCTGAACTATTTTTATTCCACTAAACATCCGTGAAACTTGCTCATTTAAACCATATATAAAAGTAACATTGTCAAAGTCTAAATTGTCATATGTCCAGCACGTGACAGAAAAGATAGAAAAACCCCTTAGCTCTCAAAATATCCTCATTTATACTTTTTCAAAATGAGGACTTGTTTGAGGCCGAAGGAGTATTCTCATCTTTTTTATTATGTACTTAGCACATGACACATTATACTAAACGCTGTATCTTTGGGGGGAGGGGTGTGGGGGTTCAATGAGCAAGTTTCAAGGGCTACTTAAATGTTAAATATTCAAGGGTGTTTTGTGGAATAAAAAGAGTTTTGAGATGTTAAACGCAACATCCCCCAAAGTTCAAGAGGGTTTAGTAGAAAAAATTAGTTCGGGAGCATTATGTGTAAAGCTCCCTAATGTTCAAGTGGAGTTTCTGGAATTAACTCAAAATAAAGACCTATGTATTTTTCTTTTCATGGCTACTTTACTCAAGCATTAAGCTTCTACCACAGAAGTACATGACTCATTTATGACCTGAAATATGAGAAATAAATTTGCACAAATGTTAGATTCAAGATAATGTTTTATAATGTGAATAATCAGACTCGTGAATAGATATGACATAATTAGAAGAGAATTTATAAGTAATTGGGAGTCTAACAATGTACTTATTATAATTCGTTTAACATACAATATGCAAAAAAGAGGAAAATATGAAACATCAAGACTTAGCTAGCAAACATAATAAAATGATATAAGATACAGAGACATGAATATTCTATATTTTTAATTATTGTATTACATAAGAATATGAAACTGAGATACCTTCTTGTCAAAAACATGCTTTTCAACATAATTGCATGCTTCTAGCCATGGCACAATTTACCATCAATTGAAAGAATATTATTTTCCTTCTTATACAAAGCGACTTTAGGCAAGCATCCTTATTCTTATAGAGTTGTATTCTTCATCTTAGGTACATTCACCTACACAATTGAAAGCAAAAAAGAAAATTTATATGAAGAATGAACCAACTATTGTATGCAGCATATTTAAGATATCATAGGTCTCTTCGTGCAAATGTGTAAATAAAAAATACTTAAAATTTTTAGATCTCCTACTTAAAATCCACATATCAAAGTAAAATCTTTTTATGAACAGAGTGAACCTATGTTCTCCACAAGAAGTCAGTACACAACATCAATTTCACAAAACATTATTGAGATTCCTTTTGAGCAATGCATTTTTAGTTAGAAAGCAGGCATCTTGTGTTCTAAGGCATCTTGTGTTCTATTTTGGAGCTAGCTAAATAACAATATAGTGGTTTGCGTGGTGAGTTAATATGCTATGAAGATGGTTAAACCATCTAATCAAAAGGTTAATGTCAATAAACAATCTAAAAATACATACACAAGTATTGCAGATAAAGAATGAACTGAAAATATTTCTATGCTACATTATGGCTACAACTTGGTAGTATGGACCGTATGGCTTTAAGTAAATCATAATTTTGTTCTCAAGATTATGATGAAATTCAAACTCAATAAAATATCTCTTTTCATAATAGACAAGCATAAAGTTTAAAGTATGAGTAAAGATTAGCTTTCCAACAAATAAATCACATTAATATTATATCATAATTTGTACACAGAATCAATCACAGTTTGAACAAACTCATTAACTAATTCTAGTGAAACTCACAATGAATATAGGTTAGATTTGGCAAACAATAGACAAATTCTAGTTCTAGAAAAAACCATTGCCGTCATCACGATTCTTATACTTGTTCTTCAATCTTAAACAGAATTGTTAATTACAGGAAAATTCAAACCCAAAATCCAAAAATAAATAAATAAATAAATAGATGAGCTGAAATATGGAATTACGATAAAGGTCCTTGTGCCAGCTGATTAGATTCAATTGAGGGACCCACAGTGGCGTTGCCCTTGGTCACAATCACCTCCTCATTCGCGTCCTCTTCATTCTTCACCACCAACACCTTACAAAGACCAACAAATGAATCATCAGATTATAAGTCAAAAAAGAAGTATCAAATGTAGAGAAAGAAATCTCTTATTTCTCTTGATATTCTCCTCCCTTACATGCTCCTGAAGTAATAATTTGATCTTTGACGAGTAACTGAATGACTAAAACATGTAATAATGGCCTTAATTAAAAGGAGGCAATGAAGGGGTGGAATACAAGCTTTTTTTTTTGTTATTATTTTTTGGTCAATGGAACATAAACGGTTGTTTGAGGGTAGTTGCACATAAAGAATATTTAATTATTCTTAATTTTAATTTAATTTAATTTAAAAAGAAGTATTGTCATGTTTAAAATTTTGATTGAAGAACAAAAATGGCAATCAAAAGTTTTGACATGGATATTCTCTTTTATAAGTATAGTATTGATATAGAAAAGACACAGAAAATACCCCATTAATTTGGCCTAGCCCAACCCAATCACAAAATAAAAAATAAATAACTTTCA